ATGGCATCACTACGAAACTGTCCGTTTTGTTTCCTGGCATGTCTTGTTGAGGAATGGTTCAGTTTATTACAATACAAGTGTCTATCGTCGGTTTTCCAGCAGAGTGCGAAAATACATGTCAGAAGCCATTGGGATGACAGATGCAAGGAAGATCCAGTGCCCCAGGAAAGTGAAGGATGCCCTTTACCCTAGAGTGAAAGCTCAACAGCCAGCATCCCGTTGAAACGGAGAAACTAATAGCGGTACCAAATATACATTATTATCATACTAATCTTTTTCTTTTTTCCTTTTTTTTGGTGTTTTGGATTACAATTTTAAGTTACCATTCATCTTGTTTTTTTTTTTTTTGCTGAATCAGCATACAAAGGGTATTTGAGAATGACAAACATAATAAAATATACATTCTTTTTCTTTTTTTTGCGAACCGTCGGATATTTATATTCATATAGGCTCTTAAACTTCATATATGGACTCGCATTGCAATTATTGTGTTGTTCCTTCTGCTTGAGATGGACCAAGACCCCACGTGAATTTGGTGAAGCTGTTAATTCTTGCATAATATGGGTGTATATTTGCTTTGCATGACACCGTGAAGCCTCTACCGTTCTCTATTATAAACTCTTTCTTCCTCTCTCTTTCTCTTTCTCATATTGTTTCATTTGTAGACTCAATCTGACTAATCACAGCAATGCTATTTTACAAAAAAACAACATGATGCGCCTGGTTCTCCACACTGCAGTGTTACTACTCATTTACAGCAGTATCGTATCCCGTGCGGCAGAACCCCAACACCAACACCAACGCTGTATCTTCAATGATGCCATGCGTAAGAGCGGTTCCCCCTGCAAAGGTGGGGGTGAGAGAATTGCTGAGTGCAGGAGATCGTGCATCTCATCAGATAAACATTGTGTCATCGTCTGATAAATGGGAGCCACTCCGCATCAACGTGTCATCACTGGATCTGGACGATGAGAAGAAGTACTGCAGGGGGCATCTCGATGAACATAAGAGTTATTTTAAGGGTTCTAAGCTTTCTTGCCGTGAGGATAAGAAGAATACACTTCTCAATGAGATTCTTCCTGCAGCAATCAATTTACACAGCGATCTTCTTCTCGTTAAGCAGTTGGAAACTCCCTTCAAGGTGCCGGATTTTGGCAAAACTCTTTGCTCTCACTTCACAGTTCCAACTACTCACATCAGTGAGGGTGTTAAAGACGCATATATGGTGCTGTACGTTGCCGCTGGACCCTCAAATACGCCTTTTATTGATAACTACAACACAAGTGGAAATGAATGTCTCTCTTGTGGTGAGAGGAAAAACATTCCTACTGAAAGAGAATTAATAGGAGGTGTACACAAAAGCCATGTGCATAGGATTATTGCTATTCTACTCCTGACATGGATGAGCAAAAGGAAAAAACAAATTATCATCAAGTGGAAGCCGTGGAAAAGTCAAATGCTTATACAAGCAACTACCTCATTGATGTACTTGGAATTGCAATAATAAAAATAGTGTACCAAGGGGAGTTGGTGGGTTAGTCAAGCATGAGTTACACAATCTTTTTCTAATACAAAGGACAGATCTAAACACATGGTATCATTCATTCTTTTTCATGGGTTCTTTTTATCTTTTCCACTTGTTTAAAGGCAGTACAGCACTCATTATTATGACTATTTATTATTCTTTGCATTTATTACAATTACAATAAAACACCAAATCTGCTCACAGTGCATTCTTGTTGATACTGTTGGTATGTATGTGTACCACAAGAGGGTATATTGATATATTTTCTCATTCTACTTTTGGCATAACCATCATTCTTCTCTTTCTAAGAGTATTACTGTTGATGTGTATACATGTGTTTGATTCTCTGCTAGATCTAATATAATATCTATTCATGCATATCTTTCATTCTCTCCCTTTTTTATCTTTTTTTTTCTTTACTGTGTGTACCTTAGCAAAGCAACACACAAACTAAAACATTCACACAAATACAAAATGGAGAAACACTCCATGCGTCACCTGCTGTGGGCTGCACTGTTCCTGTTGTACTGCAGCTGCGGGTGTTTGGCTGCTGTTGTGCAGCAGTTACCACAGAAAGGACAAAGTGCTCTACAGGCGTACACCGTCTCTTCTGATACTGCTGCTGATGATACTAAGATTGGTTCGGATTGGAAGGCCATCCGCATTGGTGTGTATACAAAACTTGTGGAAGATATGGTGGAGTTTTGCACGACGAAAAAAAAAGAAATGCCGCGTGAGTACGAGGAGCTTGCGAGAAAATATGAAGAAGAAGAAGAAGATGCTGATGAAGAACATGAAGAACCTGCACAAGAGCTTTACGATCTTAAAGATCTCTGCAATGCTGATAAGATAACAGAGGATAAGAAAAAAGTTCTTTTTGAAAGGGTATTACCCAAAGCTATCAAACTACACGCAGATCGCCTAAAAGTAAAACAGGTGAAGGGGACCCTAATGATACCAAGAAAAGAAGAGCAAAAAATACGTAATAATATCTGCCAATTCTTTAAGGATCCCTTGACGAAAAATGTGACGGATGGTCCTGTTGTCGATTTTATGATTTTTGCGAGTCTCTCAAAAGAACCCCAAAAAGTTGTGATTTGCAGTCAGGATAATGAAAACAGGCCGACGTCTGCCGTCATTAAATTTATCCCAAAGGAGATAGAAGCAACACGGCAGTATATTCGTTTGACTGCACATGAGATTGCACATGGTCTTGGATTTCAACATGAACTTATGAAAGAGTTAAACATGATCAAAGAGCGCAGTATTGATCTGCCACGTGAGCTAGTACCGTACGGTAGAAACGAATTCTATATGGTGAACTCCACTAAAATTGTCGAAGTGCTGAAGAGTCATTACAGATGTAAAGATGGTGAAATAGAGGGTTTGTATTTGGAAGATGAAGAGGATTCCGACCTACCTTCCCACTGGGAGAGACTAATTGCGAAGGATGAGTTGATGAGTACGTATTTTGGTGAACCTTCTGGCATGTACTACAGTGCACTGACACTTGCAGCATTTGAAGGTATGAAATTTTACCAAGCAGTTTCCTTGGTAAGGATGTGCTACCTTATCGTGGTACCAAGGTTAAGTACTTGAATTTATTCAAGGAAACTAAATGCACTCAATAAATTTTTGAAGGAGGTGGTCTCCTCAACAACCACACTATATTTTGCAGGAGGTGGTCTCCTTAAAAACCAATTTCTTTTTCTTTTCCTTTTAACACATGTGTTCTTCGGAATGCTATCCCCTTGGTGACGTTTGGCCATCGAAAGGTGGAGCCAGGGTCCATTACCTCGTATTCTGCGGGGGAAGCCATG